ACCATGAAAACTAGACTGTTTGAAGTTATACTTACTATACTCGGCCTAATATCAGCCAGGAATTGCTCGATGGAATCCTTGGTCCTCTGCGTCGCCTCGTTATCTTCCCCCAATCTATTGATCTTCTCTCCTTGATACCAACCTCAAGACTACCATTGTTCTTCTTCAGCAATAGGTTTGTTTTGGTCTCCATTGTATTGGAAGCACGGGCATAGGACTGTCGTCTCCCTCTTGCGCCTCCATATCTACCTGCAGTTCGTGAAGAACCACTTTCCCAACGGCCACCAGCAGCTTCCATTAGCCCTCCAATAAGCTGAAGATCCTCAGATACCTCATACCTTGAGAGAGATGCAAGGCTTGGAAGAATTTCACTTTGAAAATCCTTCCGTTGCTGTCTTCCCCTCCTTGTGCGGCCCCTCCTTGGCTGGATTGGCAGAGAAGCAGCATTCTTTTCCTCCTCTTTTTCATTGTTGCCATAGAATTCTCCCTTCATTTCTTTCAGCTTTAATTTCATTGTCTCAAAGTAAAACTCATCTACTTTTATCTCTTCCAGCTGCAATGTCATGGCCTCAAAGTAATCAATTTTGCTAGATATACAGCCATTATCACCATGATCATCAACATTTGTGTTAATTCCAAATGCACTATCTGGATCATCGACCACTGAAGAGGCAACCCTGGCAAACCAATAGAGATAATCAATCTGCAAAGTTTTAGAAGGCTCACAGCTGTTGCTTTCTAAACAACTCTGAACACTAAATGATGAAATGTTAACTATAGCCTCTGCTGCAATTTTAACCAGCTCCTGTTGCAGATCCAAGTCTTCCTGTCCAGAAGATGGCAAAGGAGTCTCAACCTGGTTCCCATCAGATTCCCCTCTGGGTGGCGACCTCTCCTTGTTTTCTGGACTTGCAGGTGCCTCCAAATCTATTTCTGTTGAATGAGAAGGCATTGGCCGAGACTCATCTTCATCTATGCATGAATTCAAGTCAATAATTACACTGCAACTTTGAAATCCTTTGCCATCAGATTCTAAGTTCATATTAGGTATCCCATCTATCACGTTTTCCTTCATGTTTTCCTCCTCAAGTATCATGTCATTACTGAAGGACTTGCTTTCCTCAACCTTCTCCAACTCAACATCATGGATGAACTCAGAATTAGCTTCTAAGAGGACAGATTCCATAGGAATTGATTTTCTACTTCTCTTGCAAGAGTTTCTAGCAGATGTTGTCTTTCTATCAACCAAAGGAGAAACTCCTGTTGGACTTTTAGGCATTGTTCCAGCATCCATACCAGAAACATCCGTGGAATCAGCCACATCAGTAGAACAACTAGGTGACATGGAATTCATTTTTTCATGACAATGAAAATTCCTTCCGGCAAGCCTGGGGCTTTCAGTAGATGTAGATGATTTGGAACCTTTACTCAATGCTGCAGATGTGTTAAGACATGGAAGAGCTTGAACTGCAATAGGGGTCCGCATGAACTCACATCGCCTCCAAGATGAAACAGAGGAAGACTCAGCATTTGCCAGATCAACCAGAGGAACAATACAACATGAGGATGATTTGTTGAAAGCCGCAACTGATCCAGCATTGCTATTACCAGAAAACTCACATGCAGTACACTGTACATTGCGTGACTTTCTACCATGCTCATCCAAGACATTACATGTTATACATTCTTGAGCCTGCTGATGCTCAATGCATTCAAGTGAGTTGGATGATTTCTCTGAGCAGAGCTCTTGAGGACAAGAATCTAAACTGTTTCTCTTATCCCCTGAAAATGGAGAGGCAACCAGTTTAAAATCATCAGCAGTGACAAAGACAAGAATTTGAATGATAGATAGATGATAGGATTGAAGAGACAATGATTAACTTGCTCAAAATGTCAAGTAAAATGAAAAAACTATGATTTGGTCAAAGAGTTCAGCAGATTTCTCACCCTGGCATAGGTGTGCCATGTGGCCAGTAACAGGATTTGAAAGCTCACCAAACTCAGGAGCCATCTCTTCCTCAAGATTGATGGGAATATTCAAATCAGCCAAAATTTTTGTCTTTGATGAAATTGTGCTAGGGGACACATTATCCTTTTGGGAGTTGCAACTGATACCGCTAACTAATTGTTCTTTATCACTGCCACAGAGAGTGGCAGAAATTGTCTTTACAGGGTAACTTGGAACTTGAGTCGCATCATCAACCCTTTTGGTTTCTAAAAATTCCTCTTCTTCGCTATCAATGTACTCATAAGCTGGAAGCTCAAGATCCAAGATCTTTTTACCAAATTTCTTGCACTTAGACTCCAACAACTCAGAGTTTATAGAAGAGCCCTCAACAGGAGCAGGATGACTACCTGCTTGGATGCTATTTCCTTCCATAAAATGCAGAGGCAATATAATATTATTTGCATTAGAAAGAGGCAATTGATTCATGGACTGCATGCTGGAGGTATAGCATATTTCCTGTAAAAAACCAAATGATTTTGGAAGCAAAACATGATTTGGCTGCAAGGCCTCCAGGTTTTGATGATGCTTCTGTAACCCATTCCTTTTCATTTCATCCATTAGTTCCCTCTGCCTGCTGTACAGCCGATGAAGTTCATGGATCTGAGGGCAATACAAATTTTAGATAAAATTATTTTTTTTAACAACAGTGGTCAATGAATAATATCAAACCAATTGAATTAAAATTTTTGGAGTTACTGATGCCAAACCCAGAAAACAAAAAGTGTTTTGATCAAGGGAGGAAGAATGATTTCTTCAAATGAAGGGTAGTAGGATGAATCTTTTATGCTAAAGAGAACCTTGTAATAAATTTAAAGGCAAAAATGCTGCCTGACAGGCATCTTTCGTGAATACATCCTTTTCAACAGCCGGCTTACCTTCCATTGAAAGGCAAAAATACCGCATGATGGGGAAATAAGTAACTTTTTTCATCCCAAAATATAGTACTGCTGTTGTCCCAGAAAAGAATGAACTGAAACTTCCCTGCCCCACGTTCCAACCCTCAAAATCCAACATATCCACCAACAAAACACAATTATAAAACAGGATTCTCCATAAGTATTCAGCACTTAAGCCAATTACTAACATCATAACCACAAGCAAAAATTCAGAGTTAGGAGCTATATGCTTATGCAACCTAGTTAGGATTTCATTGCAACTTGACATCAAAAATTTATGTAAATGAAAACAAGAAGCAAGTTGACTTAGGAGAAAAGTACCTGATCCCTAAATATGGCTTCCTGCTTAAGCATTGTCTGCTTCAGTATGTCCTTGTTGCACTTGTACCACAAATTCAGATCAGAAGATGGAGGTGACATGGCAACATTATAGTGTTGCCTAGTCATTAAAATTCTATCAACATTGTTTGAGGGTTGCATATTGCCATTAGCATCCAGATTTAGGTCCCAAGATGTATAACAACAGCCTGGGAAATGATTTTTAGATGGCATATCTGCTTGCATCCCTAGCAGTGCCATAAAACTTGGACCAGAACATAAAATTAACAAGACAATGTATGGAACACAAGCACCCTCAGGGCCATGACAAAAGAGTCCTGCATCAAAGAAATGAGCTTCAAAGATGTATTATTTGCACAAAGAGAAAAACCAACATTATCACTTTTCCCACGGCAGTAAAGACCTAATAAAACTCAGATTATTGAGCAAAATATCTAATATAACTAATGAGACATTATTTTAAAATCTTTTATTGTTTCTTAGAGAATAATAAACTCTCCCAAAAATATTCAAAAAGAAATAATCAGACCTTACATTCATCAGTTTGATTTGGTTGATTTTTAAACAATAGTGCCATTTTTCTTTTATGGTAATTCCCAGAAATTTTCTTGAAAATTAATTTGCAAGACAGGATGATGAACACACCTATACACACAAACACTGCACTAAAGCCTACCCCACTCTACCATGATATAGAAAGCCAATAACAGGACAACAAGCACTACATCATGAAAAAGAAAATGCACACAACAATATTTGAATATTTAATAAAAAAAAAAAAAGAAGAAGAAGAGAAAACAATATCAAAGATCCACCTAGCCGATGTATATATATGTATACATCAGAGCTAAAAAATGTTGAACATTGAGGTGTAAGTAATTTTATTAACCTCTTGAACAGGGTGTGCCATGAACAACTAAACATCCTTATTTACTGGTGACCAATGAGCCTCCAGAATTCCTTGGAACTAAAACACATTTGATCTGTTTGATATATTGAAAGCAG